CTCTCCAGAGAAATGTGTTTCCCTCTATTCCATATTGCTTATACAACCACTTATGCTTGGGGAAGAAGTGTCATACAAGAAATAGAAACTTTGGCTTACAGAAAAATCTCTCAAATGCTGTGCCTGAAGGACCATCCAGCTCCTAAGACACCTGATGGGAGCCTCTGGGGACAGCTTCTGCTCTCAGCTGCCCTGGAATGACTCTGAAGGAACTCTTTTGGTCCAGTTAAGTTGGGCAGAGGAAAGAGCAAAGTTGTCTATGTTTGTGTTTGGAAGGGGTCTGGTGAACCCAGGGCTCCATCATTGTCCCTGATGCACACAAAGAATAAATGGATTTGCATCTTTATAAGGGGAAAGAGAATTGGGCGCATGTTGAGCAGCGATAATGAATTAAACTGAATTAAATTTTGATACATATTAGAGATATGTTAGTTACTATATAAAGTAATATACTTAATTAGCCCAAGAAGTCTGTTAAATATTACATAAGGTTACCAGTGAGTTCCTGCAGGGAGCAAGAGAGCTGACATTTGTAGTTCTCCTCACTTGAGAAGCTGGTGGTAGCTCTGGAGATATCCATGGACTCCACAAATGGGCTTAAACTCTCCCCCTCTAATTGCTTAGTGACCTGAAGTTTTATGAAGTCTGATGGAGTGCAAAGGAGCCCACTGTGCCACAGCTTGCACCACGGCCCAGAGAAACCCGGCTCATTTCTCTACAGCTGCTCAGTTTTCCATCTGCCTGGGAACAGAACTGGCTTTGATTAGAAATGTTTTAGTCCTTCCCAAATCTCTTTTTGTCACTCCTAACCCACACTGCTTGCTGTCATTAAGAGTATTAAAAACAAAGGCCAGCCTTGCCTATTAAACCATTGCCTGATGGAGTACCAGATTTAACAGACACTTTTTCAATACTCCTCCATGTGGCAAAATGCTTCCAGCATGGTTGGTACCAGCTGCACACAGATTTCACATCTTCATATTCAGACCCTGCTGTCTCTCTCTGAAAGCATCTATTGGGCTGAGCAGCAGCTGCCAACTCAGTCCAGGCTGACAGATGTAGGATGACTTCTGGTTTCATTCCCCACTGTGCCCTGAAATTCTCATTTTGAAATACAATACTGAATTGGCCTTGGCAAGAATCAGGTGTTAACTCTGATCAGACAGTTACTTCATTACTAATGGCATTACTCATCCTGCCCTGCATTGTTTTCCTCCCCCAGAGCCGTTAAATTCAGCATTTCCCTGCTCACAAAAGTGCTGCTGGATTGAGCAAGGATAGAAATGTGACTTTTTGCAGTGACAAGGCGAGTTGTAATTTTAAGGAGCTCGTTCCCAAGAAGCCAAAAGCAGTCATGGCAGTTTGAGACAGGTCCAGCTATGGAAAGTCTCCCTGTACTAAAGGATGCACTTTTTAACACTTTGGGAGTTTGGATTTGCAGCTTACAGCTGGGAATGAGAGAATAAACAAAGGGAGGAGAGGAGAGGAGAGGAGAGGAGAGGAGAGGAGAGGAGAGGAGAGGAGAGGAGAGAGAGAGGAGAGGAGAGGAGAGAGAGGAGAGGAGAGAGAGGAGAGGAGAGAGAGGAGAGGAGAGGAGAGGAGAGAGAGGAGAGGAGAGGAGAGAGAGGAGAGGAGAGGAGAGGAGAGAGGAGAGGAGAGGAGAGGAGAGGAGAGGAGAGGAGGAGAGGAGAGAGAGGAGAGGAGAGAGAGGAGAGGAGAGGAGAGGAGAGAGAGAGGAGAGGAGAGGAGAGGAGAGAGAGGAGAGGAGAGGAGAGGAGAGGAGAGAGAGGAGAGGAGAGGAGAGGAGAGGAGGAGAGGAGAGGAGAGGAGAGGAGAGAGAGGAGAGGAGAGGAGAGAGAGGAGAGGAGAGGAGAGGAGAGGAGAAAAATAAAGAAGTGAACAGGTACAGGACATGTTTTGAGTGCAGGTGGACACACAAATTCCCCTTCAGAATTTGTGGTCCTCAGGGACATGGTGACTTTGTGGCCATTCACAGCTCCCAGCAGGTGTTGCTGTGGGAGTGGAGATAGCTACTCCCACCTTTCTGAAAGCCAGCTCACAGGTTATTTCTTGGCATTTTCAGGGATTTTTCTGGTCATTGTCTTTGTTTGACATCAAACTCACACAATTTTGTCCCTTGCAGTAGGGTAAGGAAGAGACCTCCTGCCAGGAGCAGAAGCTGCTTTGAGCCCTGTCTGAGCTGGATGAAGCACATCCAGTGACAGATTCCATCATGTCCCAGCCAGGTCTGGATTGATTCTGGTTTTCAGTCCTAATAACTCCCCAAGTTTTGACAGAAAAGCTGTTGTTGGGTTTGTTTTTAAGAGAAATATATATCAAAGCATAGCAGAAGAAATGCTCCCCTGGTGTTTTCTGTGTCCTACTCATTGGTGCTACATGTGAAATATTTATACTGAGGTTTGTGCTGCATCTTGGGGGTCTGGCAAAGCAGGAGCTGAAGGGCTCCCTGAAGATTTTGCCCTCAGCCAAACTGGAATCTCTTTTCACTGCCACACTGCACTTCTCTTCATCCATGTGTGCTGGTAACTTGTGAGGGGATCTCAAAAAAGGGAATTTTCCAAACAGAATAAACATGTCCTATGATGACAGGCAAAAGAAAAGGAAATAAAACAAAGGTTTCATAGTGGCAGATACTTGTGTGAATGCCAGAGGACTTTCAACCCTCATCAGTAAAGATATGAACACAAAGAGATTTTTTTATAATCTCTTTCTTTAAAGTTTGTTTCAGAGCATATGTACTGTGTGAGCCAGGTCCAAACGTGAGCTGTCAGACTGGCTGCTGCATGTCTGAGTGTGATCTGCTTTAACTACAGGTTGTGTGATTTCCTTTATTACCAAGATGGCACTTTTCCTGAAATATATTAGAAATACACTTGTCCTGTGTGCTGAAGCAAGAGAGAAACATCAGGAAACCTGTAATCTGAGCTCCATTACTTCTTATTTATCTAACAATCCTAGAAATTTACTCCGGATAAAAATTAACTGTGATTTGTCCACATTGTATTGTATCACTTTATAAAGTATCTTAGGTACAAAGTAGGGAGTTTGCTTTCTATCTGGATAGTGAAAATTCTTAATAATGGACGACAGCTAACAAACAGCAAACTGCTCCTAGGGACAGGAGCTGCACAGCACACACCCCATCATTTGGAATTTGTAAACATTTCAATGGACAATAATGCTTGACAGAGTAGCCGGAGATTACAAATAACACCAGATCACAAACAGCCACACTGTGAAAGCGGTCCGTGAGTTCATTAAGCATCACGGGCATCAAAAAATAAATAATAAAAAAACACTTTCTCCATCACATCTGCGGTGATCAGCATAAATGCACATCCCCTCTGCCGGGCTGTGGTGAAATCCCGGCCCAGGCAGGCGGGAGCTCCGGTGACCGCCCCGAGCATCCCGAAGCCCGCACCGGGAGCGCCCCGCACGCCGCATCCCCGGCGAGCCCACAGTGACATCCTCTGTCGGGATGCGGCAGCAGCGGAGCCTCAGCATCCCTGGACAGACCGTGCTGGGGACACTCGTGTCCCCGAGGAAGGGACACGGTGCCGGCAGCTGCGGGCTCGGGGGAAGCGAGCCCGGCTCCGAGCGCGGAGCGCTGTCCCAACGCCGGGCGCCCTAAGGGACAGGATGGGGCCGCTCTGGCCGAGGCCACCCTTGGGTGGGAGCCCTGGAGGCACCGCACCCTGCGGGATTGCCGAGAAGGTTCGCAGGGCTCGGCTCTGCCGGCTGCAGGCGATGCACGGCGATTGCAGAGCCAGCAGGACAGCGGCAGCGTGTTTGGAGAGGAATTCTGCGAGGCTGTAGCAGTTCCCGAGGTGAAAATAGCTTTTGGAGCAATCAGAAGGTGCCAAACCGCCTGGGCATTAACTACAGGCTTGTTTCTGGGTTCGCACAGCTTTGTTGCTTTGCTAATGTTCTCTCTGTTTCTGGAATTGCCCAGACTCAAGGGTGCCTGGGCAGGGTCTCCAGCCTGTACCTTCTGTTTTGCAGCTGCTGCTCTGCACATCCCTGTGCTGCTCTCCAGAGGCGGGGAGGGCAGAGCTGATCCTGCCCCTGTGACAATAGCTGTGAGGATGTTTCCTCTCCTGCCACTGGAGCAGGCACCGTGCACAGGGGTTGTACAGTGGTAGGCAACTTCATTCTGCAGAATCACCAGCTGAAAGAAGTCCTCAGACAGAAGTTATTCTTTTTAGCTGTGAAGGGTGAACAAGTGGTGAAAGAAGGAAGAGTTAATCACCTTGCTGGGGCTGGGGGCCCCAAGGACTCCTTGATTTGCAGACCAAGAATTGCCTGCACCCCGGCAGCTTTGCCTCTTCCTCCTGCTGCCCATGAGGGGCAGAGGCAAGATCATCACCATGTTCCACCTGCCCAGGGAGCCCTTCTGGCTGATTAAAAGGCAAATGAAGCTCTGACTTCACTTCTGTTGATTAAGGCACGGACCCCACGGCAGGAGCAATAAAGCCATGGTGGACGCTTTGGAGAGATGCAGGAATGGTGCTGTGCAGCGTGCAAGGATGCTCTGGGAGAATACAAGAATGCTTCTGAGTTGAGAGGGGAAACAGGAATGTAGAGATGTTCTAGGGGGTGGCAAGGATTCTTTGAAGTAATGCAGTGATGCTCCAAGGTTGGGAAGGGAAGGGAAATGGGAGAAGATGCTCTGGGGGGAATTCAGGGATGCTCCAGGGTAACGCAGGGATGCTACTAGGCTGAGAGGAGAATGTGTAGATTCTCAGGGATGCCCTGGAGGAATGAAGGGACGCACAAAGATGCTCCCGAGCTGAGAGAGTTCGTGGGAATACCCAGATGCTCAGGGCTGCTCTCGTGGGATGCAGGGATGCTCGGGCGGATTTGGGGATGCTCTGGGGGTTTCGGGGCTGCTCGGGAGGGTGCTGGGGGCCGGAGCGAGAGGCGGGAGCGGGCGGGGCGGGGAGGGGCAGCGGCCCCGGGGCGGCGGCGCGGCGGGAGCGGTGCGGGGATGGAGAGCGGCGGGGCGCTGAACGGCTCCGCCGCCGCCGGGCGCTTCGCGGCCGCGGGCACGGCGGCGCTGGGAGCGCTGATGGCGCTGCTGATCGCCCTCACCGTGGCGGGCAACGCGCTGGTGATGCTGGCCTTCGTGGCGGACTCCAGCCTGCGCACCCAGAACAACTTCTTCCTCCTCAACTTGGCCATCTCGGATTTCCTCGTAGGTAAAGTGCCGCCCGCGGGGCACCGGCACCGGCACCGGCACCGGCACCGGCACCGGCACCGGCACCGGCACCGGCACCGGCACCGGCACCGGCTGCTCCCCCCGGGCTCCGCTCTGCCCTCCGCACCCTCCCGGTCCCGGTCCCCTCCCGCTGTCCCCGGAGCCGCCCGGCAGCCGCGCTGCCCCGGGGCAGAGCCCGGCTCTCACCGGGAACGGACCCCTCCGCTTGCAGGTGCCTTCTGCATCCCCCTCTACGTGCCCTATGTGCTGACGGGGAGATGGATCTTCGGGAGAAGCCTCTGCAAACTCTGGCTGGTGGTTGATTACTTGCTGTGCACCTCTTCGGTCTTCAACATCGTCCTAATTAGCTACGACAGATTCCTCTCGGTGACAAGAGCGGTGAGTCCTGTCATGGCAGCTGAGAGGGACATAACTCTCCTCCTGCTTTGTTCTCCGAATTCTCTGCAATACTTAAAAGTTCATTGAATCCTCCAGAAATTGTTAATCTTTCAGCCTCGAAGGCAATAATCATCCACAAATGCATAATTCAGCTGGGGTTTCAGATCAGTATTCCTGGCATAATTAAATCACTTAAGGCTCAGTCCCTGTTGTGCAGGTGTTCCCTTCCCAGGTGACAGGATAGCAGTGTACAAGCAAGCCAGCCAGGTAAGCAGACTTTAAACTAACTTGCCAGAGCTTTTATCCCCAGGACAAACAAGTGATTGCAGTCACACTGGGATCTTCTCCCTGGCTAACACGGCAGTAGATTGCACTGCCAGCTTTGGCAGGGATGTGGAAAGGTCTCTGAGCTTGTGGGAGATCAAGATGCTCGGCCTTTTGCAGGAGGTAACGAGCAGTTCACAGGCAGATCTGACCCACTGCAGTTTGCTCATTCCCTGACTACAAACACAGCATGGATTTAGCCCAGGAGTTTGTCAAGTCCCTCTCCTTGGCACTTACAGGGAGTAGTGGGGACAGCTCAGGTAAGTGGTGGGTGCAGACAGCTGCCAGGCTCCAGTCAAACCAGTACATTTCCACTCAGCAGACACCATATTTTGGAGCTGTAAATGGACTGTTCTAAATCTTCCCTGTAAGAGTGTGATTTATCTAGCAATTGCTCCTGTTGCCTATGGCATATCAATTTGTTGGACTGCTGGGGTATTGCCTAGCAACTTTCCCAGGAATGCTAATAGTCCATTTGTGAGGAGCCTCAGCCAGCTGGGGTGTGGGACTATGTGTAATAAAAGGCTTTCCTCTTGCAGGTCGCCTACAGAGCCCAGCAAGGCAACACCAGGCAAGCGGTGCTGAAGATGGTGATGGTGTGGGTGTTGGCATTCCTGCTGTACGGACCTGCCATCATCAGCTGGGAGTACATATCAGGCCAGAGCATCATCCCCAGTGGGGAATGCTACGCTGAGTTCTTCTACAACTGGTATTTCCTCATGACAGCCTCCACACTGGAGTTTTTCACCCCTTTCATCAGCGTGATGTTTTTCAACCTAAGCATTTACCTGAACATCCAGAAGCGCACCAAAATGCGCCTGGATGTTTTCCACGAGGCGCACAACCAGTCCTTCACTGAAGAGGTGGAAAGGAGCCCAGAGGCAAAGCTTTCTCTGAAATGCTGTAAGTGGGAGCAGAAGGAGTCAGCTGAGACCCTCGACCCCTCTAAGAGCAAAGCTCAAGCAGCAGCCTCAACTTCCAGCCTGGATGCCAAAGACCTGCTGGAAACAAGCTCGGAGAGCTCCAGGAAACCCAAGTGTTGCAACAAAAAGAGCTGCAAAAATTCAGCCTCCACTCTGTCCTCGGAGAAACAGGTGAAGGTCGTGTCCCAGAGCACGACTCAACGCTTCAGGCTCTCCAGAGACAAGAAAGTGGCCAAATCACTGGCAATCATTGTGGGCATTTTTGGGATTTGCTGGGCACCGTACACTCTCCTGATGATCATCCGCGCTGGCTGCCACGGCCAGTGCATCTCTGAGTTCTGGTATGAGACTTCTTTTTGGCTGCTGTGGATCAACTCAGCTGTCAACCCTGTCCTGTACCCTCTCTGCCATTCCAGCTTCAGAAGGGCTTTTATTAAACTCCTTTGTCCCAAGAAGATGAAGATTCAGCCTCACTATGCTCTTGAGAACCACTGAAAGTGAAGCCAGTCAGTGTGAGGATGAGAAAACCTTGGTTTACTTCTGCTGTACTGGTGTGGGACTGGAGCTTGTTTCCTCAGAAGAACTCAAGCAGTGATGTGGGGCAGGTGAGGAAGGCAGAAGAGAGCCCACTATTAACTTATTTTAGTTCATCAACAATAAAATCCCACTGCAGAGAAGGATAAAGGGGTTTATGGACATTAACCACGGGCAGTGAAGTCAGTGTCTGCCACTTGCAGGTGCCACAAAAGAGCTCTGCTGCCACCTAGTCAGCATTTTGCTCCAATAAACTGAAAACTGGAAAGAAAAAGCTAATAAAGAGAAATATCTGGCTTAAACTACTGTGCTAAACTACAGCTTAGCTGTCGGTAGACTTGATCTTTCTCATAAATGGGAGAGTTTTTTCCTCACACCTTTATACATAGATGATGATGCAGACAGAAAAGAACAAACCTCAGAAGGAAAACATCTCATTTATCATTTTTGTTACAGCAGCTGCAGCCATAATCTGGATCCCTGTTTCATGGGGTGCAATAGATGTCCCTTCCACACCCCAAGAAGGGACAGATCTTCTGCAGGATCTCAAAGATACTCTTCTGGCACTGTGTTAGGGAATGACAAGCTCATTCCCTAACAAGAGAGAAACAAATCTTGTGTTGTTTTTTATGTTCCTTTTTAAAATGTTCCTTTCGGACCTCTTAAATGTTTCAAGTTTCAGAATTCTTGCATTCTTTCTTTTAAAATACCTCACTTCATTGGAGACCGGGGTTGAGCTGATTTAGTCAATGCAAGCATAAATTCTTTTACTGTTTAATTTTTACATTTTTTTTTAGAGCTGTCACTCTAATTACACAGATAAAGCACCAGATTCAAGAGACTAGGGTTCTAGCTTTGGTCTTACATAAAATCCTGGTCATTTTACCTCTGCTTCCCGTCTCATGCTTCATCACAGTTGCCCATTTTTTCTGCAACCTCTTTGGGCACAGAGGCAATGTGACCAAAAAGCAGATTAATTCCACTGCTGGCACTGCTCAGTGATGTAGTAACACAAACAAGTAATTAGCTGCCATGGCAAATGCTCATATTTAACAGTATTGCACAGGGGAGCTCAAGATGTCTGAAAACTACATTTACAAATAGAAATGTTGTAAAGCAGTACCCAAAAGCTTATGATGTTGTGATCACCAATTACATTTTGCTACTGCAAGCAAACTGCTTTTGGCTGCTGCTAAAAGTAAAAAGAAAATGCCATCCGACTGTATCTCAGTGATATTTGTCAAGTAGATCAGTATTGTCACCTGAAGTCGGGTTTTAAATGATGTTTTATCTTGTGTATGTGATATTTCAGGCTTGTGACACGTTCTGTCAGTCTGTTATATATGGGTTAAAATACACCCCTGGAAGTGTGTGTGCTGTGAATTGACAGGATAAATGCTGAGCCTGCTCATACCTTTCCCTGTGTCTGCTCCCTTCTGAAAACTTCAATAAAGTATTTTTATAAGAAGCTTGTTGAATATTTTATGGTGAAAAAGGGGTTGTCAGAAATAATAAAATCCAGCTGGATGCAAAGCATCTGTGGGTTTACCTGGGGAGACAGATATACATGGCACAGAAAAGTCGGCTCCTGAAACACTGAGTTTCTCTTACCTCTGGTGAGCAGGTTCCTGACAGCCCTGAGGCTGTGGGGAGTGCACATCACTCAGTTCTCACCAGTTCTGGTCTTTTCCAGAGCACGTTACATGCAACTGGGATCTGGAGAGGTTATATCAGCAATAATTCTTTCTGTCATTTACAGACCCCACTGGTTTAGTTAAAAATGACAAAGCCATAACGTGGCCAAGGCAGCAGTTTCCAGCTGTGGTTCTCTTCAGCTGTTCAGCAGGAGAGGTGGAACTTCTAGATCATTCATTCTGATTAAAAAAGGTGTCTGGACACCTTCCTTTCCCAGAGGGAAGGAACTAATATATCTCCTTTTGCACAGTATTTGCATGGTGTCTGACCTCCATGTGGGCAGAATTATCTACACTTGGCTGAAAATAATTTTATTCATTGCAGGGAAGACACTTATATTCCTTATATTCAAATTGGATTTTGCAGGGAAGATACTTATATTCCTTCCTGAAAAAAGAACTCTTGCTTTGTCGGATAAAAAGAATAAAACCATCTATTTATGCCCGGACATGAGGTCACACCTGAGCCTGGTTTTCATACTGAAAATGTTGGGAGCTGCTCTGAAGTTTTAGAATAGCTGATGACTAATTCCAATATGTTTAAAGGAGTATTTGAATTCTGGAGATTTTCAGTGTTCAGAATATAAATGTCTATATGCATTTGGAAGAGGCAGCGACTGGGGAGCTTCTAATAATCCAATATGAATTGTGAAAATGCAGAACCACTAGACAAGGCAGGGGTTCTTGTCATCCAGCCCAGCAAAATACCTGTGTATCATTTATTTTTAGAGGCTAAAAATATACCTCTTCCCTATTGTCTAGGCATAAGCTAAGCAGGCAGGACCTGTTTACAACAGCCACGAAGGAAGGGTTGCTGTAATTATGAATATGATTCAAATATTTGGGGAAGCACATAGGCTTCATTTCCACAGCACATCTCCACAGAGAAAAGAAACCTGGCTAATTCCAGAGAGAAGCATCCAATTTATGCAGGGAGTGTTGGTAAACAGCATTCACACAGCTGCAAGTCGTGCCAGGGAGCTTTTTGGATAAGTGACTTCCCACAGGAGCAGTGTGGAGGTGATGCCAGCTCCCCTCTGATCCAAATCTCCACTCCATTCACTCGGGGACATAAAGGCTGCCCTGTGGTCTTTTCCTACAGCAGCATCTGCATATCAATAAACGATCAAAACACATTTTTTATTTTAGCACAGCTACTTTCTTTCTGTCTCTCTAAATGCTTCCTCCCTAATCACCAGTAATGAGAGATCTCTTTCCACAGGCAGAGGAACTTTGCTCCACAGCCTCTCCTCTGGCCCCTCCTCAATTACCATCCCTTATTTGTTCTCTCCAACCTGCAGTTACTGAAATTGCTCCATTGTTCCACAGACATCACTGAAGCTTCATTAGCCAAGTAGGAGGCTGGAGAAGCAGAGAGGATGCAAGGAGCTTTTGTTGAAAGACACCTGTCTGTGACAATTAATGAGATTTGCTGGGAGGGAAGGGCTTTGAAAGTAGCAAGATGTGATTATATTTTGATTTGAAAGAATGCTAATGGTTTGTAAATGACCATTCATTTTCACAGTAGAACTAGGATGGAAAGACCAGGGGTAAACACCCTTGCCAGAAAGAACTCTAACAACATGATTTCTGTGAGGGAGGATGGATTTTTCACAACTCCATCTGTGGAACAGTGGCACCAGCACAACTTTGCAGTACAGGTCCTAAAAGAGACCTCCTGCACTCCACAGAACTTGTCCTGCAAATAGATGAGACACAGTAAGGAGTGTTGTTATCTTTCCTTCTGAAGTGAGAATTGCAGACAAGAATAAAACCTCTGCGAGCTGCCCTGGATGAATGCCACAAAAGAGAAAAGCTCTGTCGATTTCTGACACCACAAACCAGCCTTTCATGCAAGATTGCATAAATGTTCCTGCGGACAGGAGGGAACTCACAGCACTTTTCTGTTCCCTTAACATTTAAGTCTCCTCCTTTCCTCCTTAAAACAATTTTCCATCATTATAGTTGCATTTGCAGGATTAAGGAATTATGTGGGTTTAGAAAAGCAATTAGGAATTCTGCAGGGTGAAAGGTCTTACCTATAATCCAGCACCACCATTTCTTGAGATTTAAAACTATCGTTGGTATTTACTTCAATAAACCCACCACTACCTGAGGGAGGAACACTTGTGAGAACCTCAAAAGCAAAAGAACCCCAGCTTTGTCCCTTGGTGCAAGCTCAGGAATGTCAATGACTCAATCTGCACCATTTTTATTGCTAAGGATGCACGACCATTACTTATTTACAAGCCCCACATTTTTACTCCATAATTTGCAAGCTGCTTGCACAGTCTGAGTGCAAAAGGGAGCTAATACTTAATCCAAGCACCAAACATCATAGGCAGAGCTATGTGTGCACTTCTCAAGGGGAAGAACAAGACTATTTTTCCATTTTTGAAATGCTATGATCTGATTTTTTTTTTTAATTTTTTTTTTTTTTATGACTCGGAGGCACTAAGCAGGACCTTTGGTTTTGTTGCAAAGGCTTCATGACAAAGTTTTCTATATGCAGACTGGAGCCACAGCTTAAACATCTGTTCTTTTAAACACAAAAACGTGTCTGTGGTGTGACACTGGCTTTGGAATTATTTTTAACACAATATCCTAGGATTTAGCAGCACAATTAACACTGAAGGAAAACTGATTGCAAAGTAGTTAATAATCTCATTCAAGATCTCTCTGAGCATTCACAAACAACAAGGTCTCTACTAGGAGGAAAACAACAGTTCTGGCAAATTTTTAGCTGTTAACTAACAGCTCACACACAGCTTTAGCCTTTAGAAGCTGTTTATTGAAGAACAAACAATAACGGGGGTTGCATATAAACCCTTGAACACAAGGCTGCAAGTACACCCTGCAGTGTCCATGAATTGAAAATAGTTTGACAAAGCAGAGCAATCACCCTCCATTATGAAAATAATTTATACTTTATATTCTAAGAAGCACAAATTTAATAGACCACTATGGTTAAAACACCATTTAATATTTCTGATACAGCTTGTATTCAAAATATACAGGGATAAAATAATATGTGTAATGCTTTTATGAAGCCTATGGTCAGTGCTCTGGCAATTAAGCTGTTATCCAAGAGCTCTCATGAAAAGAACAAGGTCTTTTATTGCTGTCATTAATATTTTTATCCAAAATGAAGGTTGTAAAAACTTTATGGAACTGTATAGGCAGAGGAATGCTGACACACAGCTAATTCAAGAGTAAGGAAAAGACTGAAGTCAAACATGACTGTCATTGGAAGAATACAGCACCAAGGCTATATAAAACCTCAGCAGAAGACCAAAATGCCCAACATATCCTTTCTGAAGCTCCCACTGGGAAGAGCTTGTGCAGACAGAAGCCTGCAGAACAGTTCATCTTTATTTCAGAGAGATAAGAGCTGAAATACCTTAGAAATTCCCCCTCACAAGTCCCACACACTCCTGTCCTCTACTACGAATTGACAATCTCAGACATGAGATAATCCCTAAGAACACAAGGATTATACTGGTTTCCCTTGAAAAAAACCCCAGAAATTCAATTTTCTTTCACCCACCTCTTGCGAGATGCTCCAGCACCGAACAAATGCCTAAAAGCTGGGGAAATCAGGAATTTAAGGTCATTACGATTGACTCATCTTAATAACCATGCTTTCACCTCAACAATCACTTCACTGAGAACCAGCACTATGCACCACTTCAGAAAAGTGCCTTCCAGTCACCATTTGTAAATAGGAAATATTTGTAATCAATATTAATCGCTCTCAAATGTGGCATAAAATCAGAATTGCCTCCTTCACAACAAAAGAACACAGAACATAAATTTTAGTCAGCCTAAATTCCACTTTTACAACAGATTCTGAAGAGTTATCTGTGTGCTGACAAAATCTACCAAATTCCCTTTGAAAAAGCATGTCTATTAACTGAAAGACCAGAATGGGCATAGCATTTTCTGAGAAAATCTGAACAAGTTCCTTCTTTATTCAAACACATTTGTGGCCCTCTGCAATTATTTTCTCGATTAATGTATGAGCACTTGGGCTTTTCTGGCATGAAAGAGGGAATATAGCTATTTTTCAGCTTGAGTATTAACTAAAAGCAAATCCTCTACTGTGCACTCATTCATCAAATGACCTGGTTAGCTAAATGTGGTATCAGTTTTATTTCAGGCTAAATACATTAGGAAAATAACTTCTGTAGCACTAATTTAATTTAGTCTTAACATACAATTCTAGAACTCTTCCGTTGATCAGCTTCACAAGCCACTTCAAGCCATTGAATAACAATTACAAAAATCACTATCATTAGAACATTTAATTAGTGATAATTATGTCAATTAGTAGCACCAGTTAGTAAATTGTACATTTTTCACATGGCAATTGTTGTTATCCATCTACAGATTAAGTTTTATCTACTGTGAAAGAATTTCTAAATGCTTTAAAAAAACGAATAGGAGTTGTGTGAGTGAGCTCTCCTAAACACTGCCATGGACTGCAGTTCCATGAAGAGGGTAAGGTGGATACTGGAGGATTATTTCCCAAATTCCAGGTCATCTGTTTTGCCACAGAATTTGTGTGACTCTGCAAGTTGCTAGGGTCCAAATCCAGACAGATATTTTAATTCAAAATACTTACAATCCAGTGGAATATAGGCTTTTCCAAGCCTGGCTAAGTTTGGACCTCAGCCTTCCGTGATTCAATTTCTGCCACTGCAAGAAGATTAAAAAAATGACTCAGAAACATAAGGTACAGTAATTGGAAAAAAAATTCAAACCCACGAAATTT